ATCCTCTCTTAGGCTCAGGTGTATATTTGGTTTGTACTATATCATCAAATTTCAAGTGAGATTTATCGTACCTTTGAAACGGCAAGATGCATGATTTCTAAAGTCGTTTGTGAATAAAAAGATTTGAAACCACTGTCTTAGAGGAACTATTTTTTTCGTCAGTTAGACTAGCAGAGATCATTTGAAATTATAAAGCTTTATATTCGACTGCCAAGAGTATAAGGACATTGGCAGTATGTACGTCAGAGATTGTACTCTGCACTAATACATTTCCAAAGTGAAATATCAGTAAACCTAAAGATTAATGCATTTAAACGGCTCTACAAGCTTTTTGATGTACATGATAATACCTACAACAGTTTGATTTTTATAAACTATGGTATTGTGAAAACATAAACTTTGTATTCTTCGTTCCCATGCTAGGAAGTAGATTTGCTATCTTTTATTTGGTTTGCAGCATGAAATATCCTTAAAATCGACTTAATATAAACATTTGGTGTATGCATATTAGGAGGTAGTGAGAGCTCAAGACAAGTCGGACGACAGACAGACAGCAAACGAAACAAAAGACAGACAGAGAGCAGGAAACAACAAACAGACAGCAAACGAAACAAAAGACAGACAGAGAGCAGGAAACAGCAAACAGACAGCAAACGAAACAAAAGACAGACGGAGAGCGGGAAACAACAGACAGACAGACAGCGTTCCCCCCCGTCAGTCCAGCTTCCACTTGATTCCCTGCAGAGGCCACGTCCGCCGCGAAAGGGCCCTATAGAGCACGTGGGCCCCCTTCGCCGCCAGCCCGAGCACCAGGAGGACGTCGAGAAGCAAGAACTCAGCCCAGGAGAGCTCGGTGACGGGGGAGCGGAGGTGGGGGGCGCCGCCGTGCCGAATGACGTACTCGGTCCAGTAGACGGCGCGGTCCTGGGCTGACTCGGGCTGGTCTCGGAGCGTCCTGGAGGCGGTGGTCACTCGCTCGAGGTACCTGGGGGAGGGGAAAGGGTTAGGGGGGGTTAGGGGTGGTGCTTTTACTGTGGCGATCGTCTGTTTACTTGCTCGTCGTGTATGGAAGTTAGAGCGAAAGGGGGAATGAACGAAAAGACAAAAAAAAATGTCATGAAAAAGGAAAGGGAAATCTGCGCGTAAATACTTCGGGTTGCTGATGATCTCCTGAAGGGTCTCCACCAGGAGGTCGACTGTCAGCTCCTCCCACTCCAGGCGGCGCCCATAGCCTTCGTTCTGGATGAGGGCGGCGACCTTGGGCTGGTCTCCGAAGATGGGAAGGGCCAGGACGGGCGTGGCGTGGAAGATCGTCTCCTGCAGACTCAGGAGGCCGCCGTGAGACAGGAACACCTTAACGTTTGGGTGAGCTGCGGGCGAAGACGTGTCTCTCGTTCGTCTCATAGTGATTGTAATTGTATTATTATGACAATTATCATTCCTTCATTCATTGTATGCCATTCCCAGACACACATGACATGTAACTAAAAACCCATTCCTTCAGATGAAAGTGAAGGACCGATCTACGACATACCCACGCCCCCACCCCCCACAGAAGACCAGCCAAACCACCCACCGAGAACATCCTGCTGGGGAAGCCACCTCCTCACCATCACGTTGTCAGACACGCCCGGAACCACGCCCTCGTACTTCCAGATCACCCTCTGCTTCATTCTGGCGAAGGCCCTGACGAAGAGGTCGCGGTGGTGGGTAGGCATGGAGTCGCCCCTTGCCATGGAGCCGAGGCTGACATACACCACCCCTGCCTCGCCGGCGCCGCGGACCCACCCTGCCAAGTCCTGCGGTTGGAAGGCAGGGGTTTGAGGAGGAGGAGGACCTTACTTGGCGTCGACGAGGCGGTTGTGAAGTGATGGCTTTGGTGTTGAAAAGAAGTTTGTGAATTGATGGCTTTGGTGTTGAAAAGAAGTTTGTGAAGTGATGGCTTTGGTGTTGAAAAGAAGTTTGTGAAGTGATGATCTTAGTGTTGAAAAGAAGTTTGTGAATGCTGATTTTCATTGGTATGGAAGAGAAATTTGTGGATGGTGACTTTAATTAGAATTAAAAAGAATTTTATGAATGCTAACCTTAACTGGGCTCTAAAAGATGAATTTTCAAACAAACGTTAATCAGCATAAAAAAATACTATCTTTAATTGAATCTTGAATAGAATATAAGCACACAATTTGTGAATGTCCTCTCCAAACCGACTACAATGAAAGAAAAAAAAGAGCTTGCAAACACCACCAAAGCCAAGTCCAAAATACCCACAACACAACAAAGACTAACTTGGGGAAGGGGCTTGGCAGGCTGGCAGTGGATGGCCCCGATCTGGACCTGGGACGGCAGCAGAGGCAAGGTCAGGTCAACGCTGAAGTGAGAGTTGACGAAGGCGAGGCTCTGGTTTCTCTCCAGCTCGAGCAGCGGAGGAAGGTCTGGGAAGTGCTTCTTGACCTTAGTGGGGAAGGAAAGGCATGTAGTTGAACTTACGTGTAGGGAAAGGCAGGTAAACATATGGATAGAGTCCCTCTGTCTCGTATTAAGGTGGTATTTATATATGTATACTTGTATTTCTTATTTTTTTTCGCGTCTCTGGGTTCACTCCCTCTCTACAACATTGGATTGATATCATCTTAAACCAAACTTCTAAGAATCAATATCTAGTACCCAAATCCCGCATATGTCCTTCTTAAATTCTTCCCTCATTATCATTAAAAACCATCCCATGAGACCCAATAAACAATAAACAAACGCTAAATAAAACTAATTCATAAATAACCAACCTTTAGCAACTAACAACCAACCAATCATCTTTAACAAAACACCCAACTCGTAATAACGACACCAAACAATCATTCCACAGACAACCAACCCTACAACAATAACAACAGACATTTCCCCCTCCCCCCCCCCTCTCTCACCTCATACTCAATCGCTGGCACCACAACGTATCTCCAAAACCCGGCGTAGATGACATGACACAACACATTGAAGACCTTATCATGGAGGTACCAAGGACGGGCGAAATCCCACAGCAACGTAGGGACGTAGGCAGGGTGGTAGAAGTTCCCCATGACGGCGCTGTGCTGGTAATTGTCCCCTACGGTCGAGATGGTGATCAGGGGCAGTTCGTGAGTGAAGGCGTATAGGGCCTGTGGGGTGGGGAGGGAGGGTGGTCAGTTTTACGATGGTGAGGGTAAGAAGTTTTTATTATGTAAGTGAATGATAGAAGTGGGTTCTTATTTGAATTTTTTTTTCTTTGCTATTATTTGGCAAGAATTGCTTTCTGATTATGCTTGTTCAGTTTACGTACACATCGGAATACACACAAAAAAATGTAAACACATATTAGACAAAGAGGAAGATAAACAGACGAAATAACAGATGGACAAATTAACAGACTAAAAAAACAAACAAACAAATTCACAGATAACCAAATAGAATAAACATCCATGTATACCAACCAGACCAACAAACAAATCGGAAAAAAGGGGAACCAAACTAAAAACATAAAAAAAAAACATCACCTCATTAAACAGCGCATCGACGAACACCACATCGAAGTCCCTCCTGGCGTGATACAGTTCCATGACCGTCGTATCGTTGTAGAGATCGCGTGCCATCGACGACAGCTCGGCCCGAAAGCGAGCGAGGAAGATCAAAGGGTGTTTCCTGATCTCGAAGAAGTCGAGGCGTTCCTCGTAGATGGAACGCCAGTAGGTGAGCTCCGTGATGTTCGGGTGGTCGAGCGAAGGAGGGAACTTGGTCAGCATCACCACCTGGTTCGGAGGACGAGGGGGGGGGGGTCAGGAAGGGGTGGTATGGGTGTGCGTTTTATTTTTCATTGGATAAAGTATGCACTGACGTGCGCACAGACACACACACACACACAAAACCGCCATATTCTAGGACGTAAAACCTTACATTTTTTTTTCTCAGTCATTGCTAAATTGTCTCAGAAGCCACGCCCATTTTTATAGCTCAACACCTGATTGGCCCTTATACAACATCCGTATCATTAACCATTTTATCCACACACACATATTCACAA